TAGTCTGGACGCGCGTGTGTCGACATCAAAGGTATTTGTCGACCACCCAGGTATTCCTCCTGGAATGAGGTATACCTGGATGGTCGACAAATACCTTTGATGTCCTGATCAGCTGTTTGTCGGCTCAGCGCGGCAGCCATGTAAATTTAAATGAAGCGGCGATTATTTAAATCGCCGCTTCATTTTCCTATGTCTGGTAGACTAATCTACATGCCTCTGGCGACAGAGGCATGTAGTCTAGACGTACCCTTAGTTTCCACCTAATCTGCTGTATGTTACAGTCATTCCATGCTGCAGACTATAAGGCACTTCCAGGAAGCTAGAAAGCTCTGGGTTAACCAGGTATTTCCTCACAGAACACGGTTTCTTGAAGGACAGTCTGCTTGTTCAACACCGTTCAGGACTTGGCAGAGTTTCTCTAATCTTGTCATCCGTGTTAATGGATTAATTTCTTAGCACATCACCCACAGCTACCCAAACATGCGGTCACGGGAGACATCCACAGCACTCAGTAAGTTCTGTTACAGTGCACGAAGGTGTGGGAGTACTCACACTGCCTCCTCCCGGATTGTGTTTGAGATTATCCTTTGAGCCACACTTGGATTGAATGTTGCTAAGGTCCAGCTTCTTATTAATTATCTGCACCTTTGATAGCCAGAAAAGAGCATGAGTAACACCACCAAGCCCCCAGAGATCAACCCAAAGGGCAGAGGACGTCCCACCCCACACAGAGCGCCAGGGTAACGGGACAGTGTGATGCGGCTTTCTCGAGTTCTCAAGTTACTGGCTCTACCGAGACCACCAAAAGTGAGTAGCAGCTGTTAAAATTCACTGGAAGAGACCTTAGGAGTCAGAGTCCAACCCTCTGCCCAAAGCAGGACCAACCCCGACTCAATCATCCCAGCCAGGGCTTTGTCAAGATGGGACTTAAACAACTCTAGGGATGGAGATTCCACCCCCTCCCTAGGGAACCCACTCCAGGGCTTCACCACTCTCCTAGGGAAATTGTTTTCCCTAATATCCAACCTAGTCCCACCCCCCCACTGCAATTTGAGACCAATTACAGGTATCTCCACTGTGTAAGAAAAACGTGCAACTCTCTCTCTCTCTCACACACACACACACCCCCGGGCTGCTGTTTCCTTCAGCACATTCAGAGGCAAGTTTCAGTGGGGTAGCCATGTTAGTCTGTAACTGAAAAAAAAAAACTTTAAAAAATAATGAATAGTCATATATATTCAAATGAGCTTGAGTGGAGCATGAGTGAAAATGGAAAAGGCAGAAACAGCCAGCCAGGGACAGCACAAACCAGAAATACAGAATACAGCACTTTAGGGTTGGGGGGGAGGCGGGGGAGGCGAACCAAACCCCACACACTGTTCCAGAGAGTTTCAAACATCTGAGACAGAACAAGCTATAAAAGAATGGAGACCAAAGTCTTTGCAATTTATAAGTCTTACATTCTGGATATAATGGGCAGCATAACTCCATTACAACTGAAGCGAAAGGACTTGACCCTATAACCCTGTATTTCATAGCCACAGCTAAACCCCTCTCCTCATCTCCTCCATGGAAAAGTGCGGCCCTTGACCACTTTCCAAAATCTTGGTGTGGCCTCCCACCAAAAGTTATTGCCCATCACTGGTCTAAATACACACAAACATATAGGTGACTTACATACTGTTATTCTCAGAGTGCCTGGATTGTCACCCTAACTGAGGCCTGGTCTACAGACAAATCTGTTGCCCAGGTAACCATTTCTATTTGGGAGATGAATTTTTACAGAGACGAGTGTATCAAGACAGCACCCAGCATGAACGCAGTTATACAGGTAAGGTGGTACCTTATATCACCATAGTTTATACCCCTCCCCATAAGGAGGTTAAACTAGGTGATCTAATGGTCCTTTCTGGCTTTGAAATCTACGGGTACAAGCACCTTGATGGGTATAACGGCATGTTCTGCTTTAACGAGGCCAGTGCAACTTCGCATGCAGACAAGGCGTAAGTTTACTTTCTGAGAAAGTTACTGTTTAGCAACACCGCCAATATCCGAGAGGAGAAAAGAAGAAAACCGACTTCCCTGACGCGCCTGCCTAGGGGGGAGTTCCAAATCCACACACAGGCAGGTGAACTGCGTTCTCTGTTCTTTGCTTGTGCGGGAGATGCACACTTCAGCAAAGCTTCTGGCCCTGCTATCATCATTAAGGCTGCCTTCCAGGGCTCCTTTCTGCATTTGCTTGTTAAAGGGCCAGTGAGGGAGATGTACAAACTGGGGGCTGAAAAAGTCTCCAATGGGAATTTTTTTAGTCTCAGCACGATTAGTCATTCTGCAAATCTGGAAACAAATCCCTCTGGATGGGCTTTTAAAACAGCAACAAGTCGTTTCAAATGGCAGCAGTTCACATGCACAGACCCAGCCAATTCAATAGACCTTGCGGTCTCTCCCGTTACATTTCCCCCCCTGAACCGTTTGCTGTCTGCCTTTCCTCCACGTGCACTGAGCTGTTCTCCACTAACATTCCACTGAAATCAAGGGATGAGGGGAAATACCTGGAACAATTAGAAGTCATTCAACGCCATGGCCTCACAGCACTGTGCTCCACCCACTAGACCAGTGGTCACCAACCAGTCGATCAGGATCTCCTGGTCGATCTTGGAGCATTTGACAGGTGATCTTGACTGGTGTGGCCAAGGGGCTGTCAAGTGCCTACACTTCAGCTGCTCCTTCCCCCACTGCTGTGCATCTCCTGCCTTTTGCCTTGGAGCTGCCCCTCCCTGGGTGCCTCTTGCTTGCGGTGCAGAGCGGGGAAAGGAGAGGAGGGGGCGCTGATGTCAGGATGCTCCCTCTCACCCTGTATTCTGTCTTCACAGAATGGGGGAGGGGCACAACAGGGCTTGGGATGGAGGGAGTTTGCTGGCTGCTTTGGAGAGTGGTGCAGGGCCAGGGCAGGGGTGATCCTGCCTTAGCCCCACTGCACCACAACCCAGGAGCCACCTGAGGTAAGCAGGGCCCTGCTGGAGCCAGCTCCAATCCCCTCCCCCAGTCATGAACTCCCTCCTGCACCCTAAGCCCCTGTCCTAGCCCTGGGCCCCCTGGACCCAAACTCCTTTACAGAGCCTGTACCCTGAGCCCCCTCCTACACCCCAACTCCTCCCCCAGGCTCAGCTCAGAGCCCCTCACACTCCAAATTCCCAAGACCAGAGCCTGTGCCCAAACCCTCTGCCCCAGCCTGGTGAAAGGAAGGGAGGATGGGGGAGGGAGGGAGGGAGGGAGGGAGGATGGAGTGAGAAGGGGCGGGGTCTTGGAGAAGGGGCACAAAGGAGGCGGGGCAAGGGTATTTGGGTTTGAGGTAGATCCTGGATTGCACTTACATTAAAAAAGTGATCTTGTGCTGAAAAAGTTTGGAGACCCCTCACTAGACTAAACTGCCATTTAAAACAAACTCCAAATGTCTTCAGTTTGTTCCTGACACTCTAGCTCTGTTTATCCTGCTAAGGAGATCATAAAAGCCAAGTATAGTTAGTAGCAGTAAGATCCCAAAAGCAGTACCACCCATTTCCCCCCGTCAACAGAAACAATCTTGAAGTTCAACTGTTCTTATTCTTAGTGTAAAAAAAGAAACAGACGTTTATTCATTAGGATGCCGGTGGAAGATTAGAAAGCTGACTTCCAAGACGAAATGGCTTGTTCAAACAAAGCGTCGGGTTTAATCCATTTTCAAGAAATCAACTTTTCACTTTTGAAACTGTGGCACTATTGCAATTTTAAAGACTGCCAGCCCTAGTGTACTGGATGTGCTAATGCAGGTGGTTGGAAAACTGCTGTGCATGCCAGAAGCCTGCCAGAAAGGCTGCATGGTTGGAAGAATGGGGAAAGTTTTTTAGCCTGGTGCTCTGAGCACTCTGCACTTGGCATCAAAGGTATCGTCAAGGATGACTGCAATTTCAGATAGCAGAACAAACCAGCCCCGACTTCAGAAAAGCAGAACATGGCAACTGAATAGACAGTTGCCAGCTAGAGCAAAGAACGCTCATTTTTTAAAAATACAAGCCAAGAAATGCAAAAAGCCCTTCAAGGTGACACACCGAATATAAATGCCGATGTTACACATTTACCAAGTCACTCAGCAAATCTCCTACACAGTCGCATAAAATGGCTCCCCAACAGCCCAAGGACAGTACACAAGGTACATAGTGAGCCATCCTTCGGAGAAATTGCAGACTCTTGTAATTGGACCCACTGTCCAGTGCCCTCCAGCATTCACCCCGGGAAACGGGGAGAAGGGATTCTTTATGGCAACAGGTGGATGAGGTGTACAGACTAGCCCCTCCATCACCTGCCTTGCCTGGGTCAGGATCCCAATCCAAGGGACTCGTGTGGAACGGGGTGAAATCTCAGTACAGAGGAGGTAAGATGTGGAATTCTAGCGAGACCAACAAGTCTCCTGACCCCTCAAAACAAGACAAACTCCTTTGCTGGCTCGTTTCTAAAGAGGATTTTATCTCCGAGTCAACGTTTGTTTTCTGATTTCAACAGGCTAATACGTCTCTTAATCCATCTCTTCCGCCAGCCGCACACACTTGCCCCTGCACACGTACGGAGCACCCATCCCCGAGGGGTTCCCCTCTAAACGGGACAGGTTTGGGGCCACAAGAGCGGCGCCACAGCCAGGAATTATTTGTAGTTCCATCAACTACTCCACCCAGGGGACATTTACACTCACTGCTCTCCTTCACTGCGGCAGCCGTGTGAGGGGTGCAAAAATTCCAGCAGCCGTTGGCTCTGGGGTTTGAGTCCTATGAAGCACTGTGCGCCAGGCAGGAAGCGGATACTGGGAACAGTCAGAGGCCTCAAGGGAACCTCTAGCTGATGCACCTCTCTAGTCAGCGGGCCCCTGGCAAGTGCAAACACCATAAAAGTGAAGGCTCCAGAAAGCGTCGACAAGCTTTAAACGCAGCTAAAAATTCCAGCAGCCGTTGGCTCTGGGGTTTGAGTCCTATGAAGCACTGTGCGCCAGGCAGGAAGCGGATACTGGGAACAGTCAGAGGCCTCAAGGGAACCTCTAGCTGATGCACCTCTCTAGTCAGCGGGCCCCTGGCAAGTGCAAACACCATAAAAGTGAAGGCTCCAGAAAGCGTCGACAAGCTTTAAACGCAGCTATTGCCCATTGCTCCGGTACCAGCTTCTCCTCCCCTGGCCCCTAAAGGACAGAGCTGAGCCTTCAGAGTGTGAAAAGACAGCAGGCGACTATTTCCATACATCTTCCTGGACGGAACGCCCATAAGTCTGGATTCTTCCCTTTCCCAGGCAGGTGGTAACCTGGGTGAAAAAAGTGCCTACGTGCCACACCTCCTCCCAGTCCGGCTAGCAGGCTCATGGCAGTGCTCCAATCACAGCTAACTAGACAGGGCTTTGAGGCTGCAGCTGGGTCTGGAACTCAGGCTCTGCAGCCCATGCCCCTCCCTTGGCTTCCAAAACCAGGCGAGCAAACTCCCTTTGTGAGAGTCAAACCCAGATACTGGCTGGAACTTAGCTACATCCACAGCTGCTGACAGAACAGGAGAGGTGGCAAGCCCCAGGCCCGGCCAAAGAGTTTGCAGGGCCCAAGGCGGCATGTTGCGGGTGGCTGCACCACGTGGCTGGGCAGAGAGTGAGCAGGCGGGTGGGCGGGTGCCAGGCAGCGCAGGGCCCTAGGCAACAGCCTTGCTCACCTTGCCCCCCTTCTACTACAAATCAAGGGAGAGCTCTCCACTCTAAGCCAATACTCCAAGCCGTGTCTGCCCGACTGCCTCGTAGGGTTGCCAGATGGTTTCCCACACAAAAAAAAAAAAAAAAAAATCCCCCCCCCCCAAAAAAAAAACACTGGGGAAAAAATTCTGTTGAAGGGGGGAAAAAAGGGGGAAACCAAAACTGTTGGGGGGGGAGGGGGAAAGGCCCCACACTCCTCACTCACCCGCCTGGCCAGGGATATCCCTACACCCCCCCCCATGGAGGTATATACCCCCTCTGGATTTCCCCAACACCCGCCCCCAGGGTTTGTGAACTATGGTGTCAAACAGCCCACCTACATCCTCACAGTGTCACCCCTCATCGGCCCTGACACACACCCCCTTGTAAATTCGAAACACCCCTCCCCCCCCATTTCAATTCCAGGAGAGGCTACTGCGCCAGGCTTCAGTCCAAGGAAAACAGGAAATACCGGATATTTCCCATGTCCGGTATTTTCTGGGTTGTTTTTTAACTGGACAGGGGACCTGAATAACAGACAGTCTGAGCAAAATCCAAACACCTGGCAACCCTACTGCCACAAGGAAAGCAGATTTCAGATTTACCTTTCCACCTCCTGGCTGGTGCTTCAGGTTTTCAGTGGAGCCAATCTTGGACCGGACGTTTTTCAGGTCGGGCATGGGAGCGGTCGACGTCTGGAGGCGGCTCTTGGCAGAAGCAGGGGATTTCGGTGGCGTGCGGACCACTGCCACCTTCTTCGGCTCCCGGGTAGGGGGAGTTGGCAGGGAGGGCGTGCGGGAACGGCTGCCGGGGGTCCCGGGGGAGCCTGGGCTGCTGTAACCACTTCTGTCTCCAGACCTGGTTGGCTCCCCTGAAATTCACAGAGACACGTGTGGCGGTGCAGGGGAGGCGTGCGGTTCTTTATGAAGTGCGATCAACGTGTACTAATCGAGCAACCCGCTCCAAGAACGCCTGCCTGCTATTCGGCTTGCGGAACGCTCACGGAGTCAAAATTCACCCTCAAGGGCAGCTACTCCCACTTCTAACTTATCAGCTAGGGCCAGGAGCGGCCCGAGGTCAGCTGCAGCAGCTGGCGCCCCAGGAGGAAGACGCAATCAGTGCCCCTGCCTGCGCGGCCGTCAATGGCCATGAAA